GACTGTTTTTTTTTTCTTTTTTTAGTACAACAAGTGGAGTGGGGGATTGAACTTACAACCTCTTGATTTGAGGTAAATGTTCTTTGAGGTAATTATCATGTTTCATTGATTACCTTTATTTCTACTACAAAATAATATTTAAAAAATACAAAATCTCTATAAACCGCCTATTATTTTACTATTTTATTCTCTGATTATGAGTTTTTATCTATTTTTTAGTACAACAAGTAGGATTGGGTCTCAAACTTATGATCTCTTGAACAGAGATAAGTAACACCTACCGTTGAGGTAGCTCTAACATTTATATTTTGGCTATTTAATATTTTAATTTTCAATTTAATTTTAAAATTTCATTAAATCTCACGTTTTGACCTTAGGATAAAAATAGTTATATAAATATGGCGTATGGACAAAGATTAGACTTTGTAGTGCACTGATGTTAAATTGTGACCTCTTGACTAAACGAATAGACATATGAGTGAGCAAGGTCGACCTATGAGGAAGTGAGGTCGACCTATGACGGAGTAGAAAGATTCGATAAAGAGAGTAGACACTGTGACGCTCAAATCAGTATTAATTCGAGGTATCGTTCTCGAGACGAGTTAATCAAAATTGCATACATGCATATGAAGTCTACCTCTTTTATTTATAGGCGTTCAAAATGACATTCACTCATTGACCATGTTGCACGTTGTGTGAATCTTAGCTTGATTAGATGGTAGTGGCGAATTGGGAGTTGAATAATGGTTGAAAAGTGGTTAGGGGGAGTTGTGTGATTGCTCTTCATGGATCAAAAATGGCCAAGCTACAAATGCAGGTCGATATATTCCTTGGGCGAGCTGCAAATCAAATGGTCACAGATTCGGTATCTTAGCCTATGATCAGTACTTCTTATTGGTCCACATGTCATACCATTTTTCATCGCTTAATATAATATTTTTCTAAATTTGAAAATAATTAAAGGTTGAATGACTCAAGTGTATATATTAAAAATAGAAAGCGGGTAAAATACAAGGATTCAATCAAAATAAAAAATTGAAGGACRAAAATAGAAAATTGAGAACGATTCAGAGACCAAAATCTTAAACCTTTATTTTTATTTGTTGCAATGTAAAAACTTAAGCATACAATAGAATTAATCCGTTAAACAAATCAATTTTTTAATGAGTTGGAAGTAATTAATTTATTAGATATTTTGAATTCCAAAATATTGCTTTTTTTTTCTAATAAAAAATAATAATTAAATAAAAACGAAGAATGTTCAATGAAAGTTCAATTGATGATCTTAAGAAACGAGTTTTAAAAGGCAATAATTCAAGTCTTCGGAGATGACTTTTGTATCATTCCGGATGAAGAAAATTTGGAAGCCATGATAACAGAATTTAAACATTGAAAAGTTTTTTTTTGCCTTTTTCACACGAAGTGCCAGTGATTAAGGAATTGGATTTCTACTTTTTGCTTCCATTGATAAAGAAATTCAAGCTCCAATAAAGGAAGAGCGCGCAATCTAATGATAAGCGACATCCAGCAGTTTTCCTCGTTCTTTTTCGCCCGCCTTTCGCCGATTTCCTTCAGATTTTGTTCTTGAGTTGAGTTTTTCTTCTTTGACTTGCCATAGAGAATTGCAGCTGAGTTTTTGTTTCCTTGGTTGAATTGAACGCATAAAGCTGTTGATTATGGGAAATTGTTTACCTTCTTCAGCTCGCGATTCTAATTCTATTCCCAGCCAGACGCTATCTTCTACTCCAGGTGCCAATTTCGAAACAATTATCTTCGAGATTACTTTAATAATGTCAATTTTCAGCTACAGTTTCCGTTTTCAGTTGCGATTCTTCATTTTCCTGCCGTCCATTTGATTGTATGTTGTGCCATTTCTCAGGAACATCGAGCAATTACAGCAAAAACGTAGGGTTTTCAGGTACCAGTAGCACCGCCGGCAAAAGTCAATTTTCGGATGCGGCGAGTGTGGATGTGAGCGAGCCGTATCCGAATGGGCAAATCTTGGACCAACCAAACTTGAAGGAGTTCAACTTTGCTGAGTTGAAAATCGCAACCAAAAACTTCAAACTCGAAAACTTGCTCGGCCAGGGAGGTTTTGGGAAGGTGTATAGGGGCTGGGTAGATGAAAAGACGCTGGCTCCTTCTAAGAGCAGTTCTGGAATGATGGTTGCCATTAAGAAATTGAACTCAGAAAGTGTCCAAGGTTTTCAGGAATGGCAGGTAAAATTAAGCTCATTCATGGATCATCTTCTACAGAACATTCATCTACTACTCTACTGAACATTCGTTGGCCAATAGAAAAAATTTGGCTTATTCCCCCTTTCCAAAAATGGAATTCTTAAGTTGCATACCATAAACGGCCATTCTTAGCTACTGAACAAAAGTAGATGGCCACTATTAGTATTCTCAGTTCTGAACAAAATTGTTAATAATCATTTGCAGATTTAGAATTAGCCTAAATACTGCAAAGGTTGAATGTCTTTTTTTTTTTCCTTTTAAGTTCCATCATTCCATATTCATTGCCTGTTTGACTTTTTAAATGTTTTATATGATGATATCAATTGAACTGTTGATATAGGTACACCAACCATTAAATGTTTTTATGAAGTACTTGGGGGTGAAGTTATTTATGTCAAGAAGATGTAGCCTCTGTTGTGTCATCCTTGACATGTCATCTTATTACTTGAACTTTCCAAATGCCAATTTTTTTGCTTATCTTGTTGACACACAAGTTAAATTAGAAATTTGCACTCTTTTGAAATGGCGAAATGATATAAGCATAAGCGTAAAGCCTTGAAGGACCTATAAGATGCTATTGGTAGTTCTGCTGATGTCTGTAAATCGTTTGGCAAATTTATGTTTTCGGTGAGAGTCCAGCTTTGCGAGGTCTAATCAGTGGCTTACCGCTCTTATGATATAATGCAGGCCGAAGTGAACTTTTTAGGAAGATTGAATCATCCAAATCTTGTCAGATTATTGGGTTTCTGCTGGGAGGATGATGAATTGCTTCTTGTGTATGAGTTCATGCCCAAGGGAAGCTTGGAAAATCACCTATTTAGAAGTATGATTTCCTTAAATGAAGGACAAGAGAAAACTGATTGTTCATAATTATCCGTGCTAATCTCTGGTTTCTCTGATGATCAGGGAACTCTTCCACAGAACCTCTTTCTTGGGGAAAAAGGCTCAAGATCGCAATTGGAGCAGCTAGGGGTTTGGCTTTCTTGCATTCCTCAGAAAAAGAAGTTATATACAGAGATTTTAAAACATCAAATATACTTCTGGATACGGTTCGTCCAATTTTCTGTGTTCTATTTTTAGCTAATTTCAAATATTTAAATTATGTCTTTGTATTATACTGTTTATCATTGCACAACTTCCACTTTTATTTTTCATCTTTTGGAAAGTACAGAGATATGTTCAGTTCATCATTACATATCTTAATATACTCATAGATCACATCACACTGTTGAAGTTCTTGGTCCTTCCTGTTTTCTTGTCTCATTTCATCTCTCTTTAACCCTTTTGTCTGAATTTCCTTCTTTATATTCATGTGCACTGTGCAGGATTACAACGCGAAAATCTCAGACTTTGGCCTGGCAAGATTGGGGCCTGCGGGTGAAGAATCACATGTAACAACAAGAATTATGGGCACATACGGTTACGTCGCCCCAGAATACGTTACTACAGGTGATAGATAATATCTGTCATTGTTGAATCAAATTTACCAAATAGTTTGGCTATTTGGCTTTATTGACAATTTGTAGTATATTGGTGAAAGAGGAGATGAATTAAATATGCAGGGTGCTATATTATAATATGAATTTACAAATTCTCTAATCAATCTTATTGTGGCAACATTGAAAATGATCTTCATTGCTCAACCATCCTTGCCATTGCTGATCTTATATAGGCCATTTGTATGTGAAGAGTGACGTTTACGGGTTTGGCGTTGTGCTGCTCGAAATTATGACGGGCTTGCGCGCACATGATATGCGGAGACCCAGCGAAAAGCGAAATCTGGTTGATTGGGCTAAGCCAATCTTGATGAGGAAGAAAAAGGTTAAGAGTTTGATGGATGTAGGAATAGAAGGTCAATATTCGTTGAAAGCAGCCATTCAAGCGGGAGATCTTACTCTAAAATGCCTGGAAACAGATCCGAGAACTCGTCCCTCCATGCAAGAAGTTCTCGAGGCGTTGGAACAGATCGAAGAATTGAAAGAAAAACCGAAAGGTGCGAAGATTAGCAACTCACAGTCTAAACAACTTCATCAAAGACAGCCAACCAATTCATCAGTTAAAAGGCACAGATAAGTGAGGCCCAATTTTTTTTTAATAGATCTTATGATGTAACATTGTATGCATTTCTGATTGTGATGGAAAAAAGTTTTATTTATTATTATATATTTTTTTTGTTTCTCTTTGCTCATTGGTTGCCTTCTGTGGGGATGGCAGGAGGCGAGGTAAGGGAGATATTTGATTATATCACAAGTGAAATGTTTCAGGTTTATTGATGAAAAGTTAGTGTGTTGATTTTCTCCAAATCTTGCTGAGTTCTTTCAGATTCATTTAAGAACTAGGAATCCTAGGTGAAGGTTTTATTTATTTATTATTTTCTTAAAGTACGAGAAATGTGGAGATGTGAGATTAGACCTCCTATTTTTAGATAATGAATAAGATGCTTTTAACTCAAAATAATTTTGATTATTGACTTTGTCAAATTTTGGAGTTGAAGGTAAGAGATGAATGAAGATGTTATAAGGTAAGTGCATGTAAAGTTATATTAACATATTTTATATTAAATTATAAATAGTAGGTAAGTGCATAATCATTCATTGTTTGGATCTACGAACTAAAAGTTGTATTTATTCAATTCTTATATGTGGTTCTTGAAATTTGGTTGTATCTAAAAGAATTAATTAGCTTGCACGTGCCCAAAATCAATGTGTCATGTAATTCTTATAGTCCGTTTATTACATATCATAGATAAAATTAAAAGTTTAAGAATATATTAAAAAATTATTAAAATAAGAAGATTAAAAATTTTAAGAATATATTAAAAAATTATTAAAATAAGAAGATTAGATAGATAATTTTGAAAGTTCAGGACTTATTAAATACTTTTTTACATATAGTAATAAAATATACACAACCCTAAAACTCAAACCTAAAATAAATTTAATATGCTATTAATTTAAATTTACATGAGGTACGGACTAAAAAATTAATAAAAAGAATTTGATAGTCTCCACCTCCACCATATATTAATGACCTAAATGATCTACTATAAATCCCAACTTTCTAGTATTACTAAATAATATATAAATGTAATAAATGATATACCACACAGAGATTCAAATTTCACCTCTAAACTTTTATCATTTACTTATAACAGCATGTAGCTAAGTAGCTTACCTGTAATTAACACATGTCGGTGTGGGTATACTTTAAGGGTGATTTTTACTTCGAAAGCCATGAGTCCTATTTAGGAAAGCCTAAGCCTACGGAACAAACTTGTTCCTTTTGATTAACTCGTCGCTACTTCTGACCCCTCGTAGTACCCTCTATTTCTCAATGACTCTTCCATGTACTCGACACGGATTCCCAAGCTTGGGAGGAGAAGGAGGATCTTACAACTACATCATTCTGACCAAGTTCGAATCCTTCTACCCCTACTTATTGTACTATGATTAACGTAACATTGACGTGATAAATATGTTAATGGCCACAGAGACAGAAATAGTTATAGTAAGTTATATTTAATTGTACTAAAAAAAAAGTAGTAGGATTTAATTACAATATTATTAATCCTAATACAAGAATCTCAAAATCAAGAAATAAAGTAGTAAAGGGGAAGTTAGGTATAATTAATACCCAAAATTTGATTAGTGGCCAAACCCACAATTATTTATTTCTAATAGGTTATAGTGGCTACTTGTCTAGATGACAATGACAAATTGACAAGTCAAAAGACTATTTACTACATTTGACTCCAAAGTTGATATTTGATTCACACCAAATTTAGTGATTGACGGAGGGAAAGTGGGTAGGTGGCACATGATGCACAAATTGGAAATTAACAATTTCCCACCTAAAACATATTATCATCTCAATTTCCAAAGGGGTTTCCTTTTTCTTGTTTTTTAAGAAATAAATATTTTTTAATATAATAGGTGGGATTTCATACTTATGACCAAGATATACGTTAATTACGGTTAAGTTATACACATTTTTACGAAAAAAATAAATATCAAATGAGATTAGATTCAAATTATAGTTCTAAATAAAATTTTGAAAAATGTTAACATTCATATAATTGTGCAGTTGGAATGAATGTAACTTAGAAATGGAAAAACTTGAACTTAAATGGTAAACGAGGAAGTTTTAGTAAAGTGAAATATTAGATCTCAAAATTCTACCGAGCTGTCGAGGTCGGTCATGTGGCAACTAGCCGAGTTGATGAGGTGCGAGCTCATGCAAGGTAGGACCTGCAAAAATAAAGTAAACACTCCGACGCTCAAGTCAGTATAGGCGCGAGTTCAAATAGGTCATTCTCGGAGTAGAATTGCATACATGAGTAAGAGGAATGAAGATCCTTTTATAGGGGGAGTGAAAGGACACGTCCGTCATGACCGTTACGACATGGCGATTAGATGTCGGGCCATAGGTCGGCTATGGATGAGCTTAGTAGCTTAAGCTATGCCATCAGTGAGCTAAAAAGCTCGGCAATATGTGAGTTAAGGAGCTCGGCCATAGGTGAGCTTAGGATCGGAGCTCGGCAATAGGTGAGCTTATGAGCTCAGCAATAGGTGAGCTAATAAGGAGCTCGGCAATATGAGATTAGTAGCTCGGCAATAGGTGATCAGCTCATGAGCTCGACAATAAGTGAGCTCATGAGCTCGGCTATAGGTGAGCTTAAGAGCTCGACAATAGGTGAACACATAAGCTCAGCCATATCTCGCCTATTGCCGAGCTCCTAAGCTCACCTATGGCCGAGCTAACTCTCCTTGTAAGATTCGGCACACACTCTCAAGTAGAATCTTACCCTTGAAATTACTGCCCTCTTACTCTATTTGCTCCATACCAGTTCACTCCCAACTTGAGTTCTAACTTACTCATCAAAATGAATTCGACAGATCACCAAACCAGTGCTAGATTATTGTACACAGACAACCAAGACTTTGTAGACGAAAAAGGTGTTCATGGTACCTACATAATATTGATGTATCACTAGCCCAGAAATCAACATCAACAATAATCTTTAAGTGCTATGACAGATAGATATTTTCTCCATAAATTAGTTCTATGGACCAAGATTGTAATTTAACCCCTAATTTTAATTATCATCTAATTTTGAGAGGTATGTATTCCACAATGGTGTTAGTTGGCAATGACATTGTAAGTCAAACAAACTTCCACCATACTCTTAAATGACTTGGATTTCACAAGACTCCCACTTTGACCCTGAGAATTCCGGACCAATCAAATGAAAGTCGAGTCAATCAAGGTTTGAACAACTATATGGTCGGCTCTCACTATTAAAACCATGTAAAAGCTTTGGCCTTTGGCACACAACTATCAACTATGGCTCTCACCTCTCTTGTTCTCTCTTCCCTTCTCATGACAATTATTCTCTCTTCGACCGCCGCCGTTGCTCACCTTCACCACCATCACCGCCATCTTCGGTCCCTCCACTTCTCCCTCTTCCAACATGAA